CTGTTTTCTTCCTCTGGTACAACCCGAAAATCCCCGTCGTCCGACTCGCCTCTTTCAAAATCACCAACTTCAACTTTTCCGGCGATAAATCCGACGCCGGATGGTCGTTCTTGACGGCGGATTCAACGGCGATGCTCGACTTCAGAAACCGTAACGGGAAGCTAGGGTTTAATTACGGAGATGCTGACGTGGCAGTGATTATAGGAGAGAAAGACTTTGAGACTAACCTAGGGTCAACGAAAGTCAAAGGCTTTATTGAGAAACCAGGGAATCGGACGGCTGTGATTATCCCGACGAAGGTGAGGAAACGACAGGTGGATGATCCAACGGCCAAGAGACTACAGGCAGAGCTAAAAGGTAAGACATTGTTGGTGAAAGTGACAGCTAAGACAAAGCTTGGATTGGTTGTCGGAAGTCGCAGGATTGTTACGGTGGGCGTTAGTATCAAATGCGGAGGCGTTAGGTTACAGACGCTTGATTCGCAAATGGCCAAATGCACCATCAAGATGCTAAAATGGTACGTGCTACCATTCTCGAAATTAATATATATAAATATAAATTTCTTTTTATTAAATTGTAGTATATGAATCATTACAATAAAAAAGTATATAAATCATAACGGTCATAATGAACCATTTTTTATTGGATTGCAGGATCAAACTGCAGACATAATGAAAACGGTGACGTCTAGGCCGTGCCTCAGGTTAAGAAGACAAATCAAAACCATAGAGATGTTACGAGTTAACTTGTATCTACTTTTTAATTTAAGTTTTCAAATATTTTATCCAACTACTTTTCTAATTTTAAGCCAGATTCGTTATAAACATGTTATACACAAAAATACATATGATCATTGTTAGTTGTTTGTGATGGCTTTCCAAATGTTGAGTTCTATATCTGAGAACGCAGAAAATAGACGCAGAAAATACATACACTGTTACAAAATAAATAATACATGCACACTGTTACAATTTTAAAATTGGGAATAGTTAAGATTTCGTGTAGGACAGAGATAATGCTTTGGACATTTTGTGATTTGTCTCGGATACGAGAACGCTATTGTGCGCGTTTGTTAGAAACCGATTTAAGTCAAACAAACAAATTACAATTACCAAAAATACCTCGTTAACTAAACTAGTTTTACGTATGTGTCCGTACATCTCAACTAGAAAATTTCTTAACAAATTCAAACAATTCTTGTAATACGGTTTGTGTCCAAAATCTCGAGAATATGTATAATTCTAATACCAGAGAACCTGGATAAAATTTGAAGAGGTGTGAAATGGAGCAATTTCGAGAGATAGGAGAGGTATTAGGAAGCATAAAAGCGTTGATGGTGTTCAAGGATAACATTCAAATCAACCAGCGTCAATGCAGTCTGTTACTCGACCTCTTCACCGCGGCTTACGATTCGATTTCGGAATCTATGCGGTCGAATTTACGGTTCCAAGAGAAGAACGCTAAATGGAAGATTTTAGAACAGCCATTGAGAGAGCTTCTATGGGTGGTACGAGAAGGAGAGGCTTACGTTAGGATGTCTTTAGAGCCTAAGCTTGGGTTTTGGGCTAAGGCTATTGTGTTACATGGCAATAGAGATTGTACAGAGCTTCACATACATAACTTGCTCTCTTGTGTACCGATTGTAGTCGAAGCAATCGAGATTGCGAGTAAGGTTTCAGGGTGGGATGTAGAAGAGATGAACAAGAAGAGGTTGGTGCATTCTAATAAGTATATGAAGCAATGGAATGACTCTCAGATGTTTACCTGGAAGTTCGGGAGAGAGTATTTGGTGACCGCGGAATTCTGCAATCGGTTTGAGAGTGCAAGGAAAGAGGACTTGTGGATTCTAATCAAGGAGCTTGAGGAGAAAAATCATCCCGGTTCAAGCAAACATGATAGGAAGATGGCTGATTTCCTTCTGAAGAACATAGGAGACAGAAACGATAAGCTATTTCCGTCTTCTCTTCTGGTTAACGCGAAAGATTACCAAGTGAAAAGAAGATTAGGGAATGGAAGTCAGTGCAAGGAGATTACCTGGTTAGGTGAGAGTTTTGCACTTAGGCATTTCCTTGGGGATATTGACACTTTGCTTCCTCAAGTTACTCCATTGCTATCTCTTTCACACCCAAACATTGTATATTATCTCTGCGGATTCACGGATGAGGAGAAGAAAGAGTGTTTCTTGGTCATGGAACTGATGAGTAAAACCCTCGGTATGCACATCAAAGAGGTATGTGGTCCGAGGAAGAAGAACACTCTCTCCCTCCCGGTCGCGGTTGACCTGATGCTTCAGATAGCTCGGGGTATGGAATATCTTCACTCGAAGAGAATATACCACGGAGAGTTGAATCCATCCAACATTCTTGTCAAACCAAGAAGAAACAACCAATCTGGAGATGATTATCTGCATGGGAAGATTTTTGGGTTCGGGTTGAATTCTGTCAAGGGCTTCTCTTGTAAAACTGCTTCTTCGACAAGTCAGAATGAGAATTTTCCATTCATATGGTATTCCCCAGAAGTGCTGGAGGAACAAGAACAGAGCGGAACTGCGGGATGTCTTAAGTATACTGATAAATCTGATGTGTACAGCTTTGGGATGGTTTGCTTTGAGCTTCTGACAGGTAAAGTACCATTTGAAGATAGCCACCTACAAGGAAATAAGATGAGTAGAAACATTAGGTCTGGGGAGAGACCTCTTTTTCCATTTCATTCACATAAATTCATAACAAACCTGACAAAAAGATGCTGGCATGCTGATCCGATTCAGCGTCCAACTTTCTCCTCGATAACCAGAATTCTCAGATACATCAAACGGTTTATAGCTTTGAACCCAGAATGTCACGGGAGTATCCAACAAGACCTACCTGTTGCTCTTCCTATGGATTACTGTGAGATTGAAACTAAGCTGTCGCAGAAGCTTTCATGGGAATCTACAGAGTTACCTCTAGTTTCACAGGTTCCTTTTCAGATGTTTGCATATAGGGTTGTGGAACAGGAAAAGACTTGTAAAAAGAATACCCTCCGAGATACATCTGAATCGGGTAGTGAATGGGCTTCGTGTAGCGAGGATGAGGGCGGGGCTGGAACAGATGAACAGGTGTCCCCTGAGAAGGAAAGGAGGTTTTCAATCTCCAATGATATTGGTATGAACAAGAAGGCTGTTTCAAAACTTCTGAAAAGAGCTTCTGGCCTGAAACCAATTCAAAAACCAGGTAATTATCAACAGTCAAATAAAAGAGGCTCCGTATAATTTAGCTTTGTTACTTCTACTAAATACTTCTGTTCTATTTGCCTTTTGATTCTGTTCAGGAACACTCAGAGGACGAGCACGGCATCCTCCACTGAGCCCTTGTGGGCAAAGCATGAGAACGAGCTCTGAGAGTCAGCTGATATTGATAAGCCCAAGGATACGCCGATCCAACTCTGGTCATGCATCTGACTCTGAGCTTCCCTAGTCTGCAGAAAAAGAAAATCATATACACGACAATAGCAAGTCTAACATATAAGAGAAAAGACTACTAACATTTGTAACACGCTCCAGTGAATATAAGTGCTCCATAACAACAATTCTTAATCCAAAGTTCCTACATATAGACTCATGTAGTTCAGGCCAATAACTTATTCATTCAGTAGCTACAAGCTACAATATTGTCTTAGGGAAAGTCGACAAAGCAGGAAACATGGCAGAAAAAAAGAAAAAAAGTTTTAGGTAGTTTGGCTAGCTTGTCCTCCATTCGATGCAGAAGGGGATGAATGATGCCTAATTTACTTCTCTTCAGGCTCGTCGGCTACAAAAAAATAGTAGGCCTATCGTACTGATGGCTTATTCAAGCTTCAGTCCGATATTCTAAATTCAACTCCTAAAACGTCTTTGACCACCTCATATGTCACAAATGCAATCGCAATGGATGGGACAACCTGTAACGCATGCAATAAAAGAGAAACTATCAAGCTAGGGACTTATGCATCGGAATACAAGAAAGAATTTAGCTTTCCACAATAGAAATCTATAAGAGAATGAAATTTGCAAAGCTATATTTTAGTGAAAGACAGACAAGGATAACAAGGTGAACAAACATGTGAAGATCTTGAGCCTAATGTTTAATACATGAATCTAAAAGGGGAATTATATGGCTAACCTTCACTGAATTGGGGACCAAACCCTTGTACAATGCTCCAAAACCCTCATGACGAACTGTTTTTCTGAATGCATCAATCATGCCGGTGTATTCAAGGGAAGCGCTTCTTCCATCCCCACTAACAACGGAGGAAGCCGATTTCCACCCAACCATTTGCATTCTCCTACGAATAACATCAAGGGGGTAAGCAACTGTTTGGCCAACTGTTCCAGCTGCAGCACCACATGCAAGTCTTGTCGTCATAGTTAGTTCAGAATCTTGCACTAGGCCAAATGGATTGTCTTTAACTAGCCAGTCCTTTAGAGATTCATAGACTGAAAAGTTTAAGCCCACATATGGAACCTGCAGATTACACAAAAAACCAAGGGTTGTTCTTATGAAAATGGTCAGTTAAGTTCAGTGGAAGAGGTGAGAAATAAACATTCAGTGTAAGAAAGAACGAGACTTACAACTCCAATCACCGATGGAAGCCAACCACGGTACAAGGCACGTGGACCTTCCTCTCGCAGCACAGTTGACAAAGCATGGGCAATTCCTCTGTATTGGTACGGAGAATTTGCCGTCTGTGAAAAAACATGTATCCATATTTTCATAATTACATTTACAATATGCCATATTAGGTTCCAGCATACACAACTTGTGGTACAGAAGTTACCTGAACAGTTAGCCTTCCACGGACCATATCCATCGGATAAGTCGCGGACATAGCTATTATCCCAGCAGTTGCACCAGCTCCGAGACGTAGGAGGGGAGTAAGTTGAGCATTTTCTGTAGAAGAGGCATAAACCCATGATTCCACAGAACTGATATAATAAGAATATTTTACTGCATCATTGGCGCAAAAGGCCCATGATATTTGAGTTCAACATAGCTCCAAAGGCTAAATTCCGAAGCAAATTAAACATTACGGCTGTGACTGGTATTCTTATAGTAAGAAATATTTCTTGTGGTCCAGTTTGGGAAGCTCTTCAGTCAACTGGTGCCTTGTTAAATGGACAAGCAAAATAAAATTCCTCGGCTATTTGTTTTCTACTAATCTACTTACCAGTTACCGCCTAATGTGATTTACAAAAGCAGTATGGATTGAGAATTAAAAAAAATCACATGTGAAACAATTTTACCATTCCCCGTCTGTTGCCGATACATGTATAGTATGCCCCTAACAGAGAGAAAGTGCAGAGATTAAACAAAAAATAATGTCAAGCACACAAAAAAAAAAGACTCACTTATAAATATAACTATACAAAACTTTGAGAGAATCAAGTAGCTTAATATCATATCACGCATTTTGAAAAAATAAAAATACAGAGACAAAAGAAGCTAAACATCTTACTTTGAAGCTTGCTCGTAGCTGAAGAACTTGACAGCCGAGTTTGGAACAATACGGGCACAGTTAGTCCCATTTCCTTTGAACAATCCACGAAAACCTTCAGTTCTCCAAATATACTTCAACCCTTGAACTGTTCCATTATACTTAATGTTATGCGGATTTTGGACCTAAATTACGATAATATACAGGTTGAGTGAGTATCTGAATTCACCACATAAAATTCCAGAAAAGAAAAGTGACCAAAGAAGATAAAAAACCTGAAGTAATATCTTCATCCTTTCCAAAGGCGCAACTGCGGTTCGTGACCTGATTCAACAAACACACATCTCCAGTGAGAAACAATCATTTGAAACAAATTCTGTGCCTGGAGTATAAATAACACAAAGGCTGAAGTATATGATCTATCAAACAGAATCACTTCACACTAATCAATTTGGATCCCAGAACAAAAGTTACATCAACAAAGAAGAACAGTGATTTCTCTGCCTAAAATTCTCCTTCACAACAGGAAATTGAATTTTCAAGTTTCTCTAGATACAACAAAATCACAAAAATTTACAGAACCAATGTATCAACCAATTCAATGAATCAAGAGATCTTTCGTTTTTTTAATCCGATTTCCACCCAAACATAAACAAGAGAGTGAAGACTCACACTCCACCGGCGATGCCTCCGGCGATCAGAGACTTGCAGATACTGATGATGGCTTGACTCGGAGATTTGACTCCTTGTCTCGCCAACTTGGCTTCCTCCGCCAGATTAACGATCGTCGAAACCGCCGCAGATTCCGTCGTCTTCACATCCTCCGACGCCATCAATCAACCACCACCAGCTACAGTAGAGAAAACCCTACGAGCTTATTTTGGCTTTTTATCTAAAAATGATTGTGAATTTGTGTGAGATTACCGGTCAGTCCTCTATTCTG